CCCAGGCTGGGAAATTGGGACGCGGCGAAGAAAAAACTTTAGAGGAGAATAACTTGCCTGCGACGTATTTATTTGACCTACTAAGGTAGATTTGAACTGTGGCTGGGGTGCGCTTTCAGAAAATTACAGGGATTACCTAACTCGTCCGAAAGTACTTCTATTAGAGGCGAAAAACCCGAATTTCTGAGAAGGCGCACCTCCAATTTTGAAGGCCCATAAAATCTTTCGCATGCGACATCTTGGGAATCTGCAAGAAGTTTTAGAAAGTTCAGATATTTCTCTCAAAAATCAGTATGAAAGTTTAGTGCTTGTTCCCTTTTTCAAGAAATCGTCTCGTTCGAACACTTTTCCTGAAATCGCGAGATTTTAGCTTTCAGCGACCATAACTCACTTCATTTTGAATTCTATGATGCACTTTTATCATGGGGTGAAAGTACAGGATTTGCTCTTTCTGACAAGCCCTGAACCATTTTACAAAGCTCATTTTTCGAGAAAATCACACGTTCGAACATTTTGTTCCCATAGATTTTTGAGCAGCACATGCGAGTTTTTGAGCTTTCAGCAATAATAACTTCCTCCGAAGAACTTGTTGGGGAGGGGCGAAGACATTTTTGAGGACTACGAGATTTCTGCTTTTTTACATGTTTTACCGTCGCCTGGAAGAATCTTCCCCAAAGAATTAGGACCCCGAAGAACTTCAATTTCAGCCCCAAGAAGTCAAACCTTTCATAGGGATGCACTCAGCTGTTCTTTATTCCTTGAGGAAAACACCGTAGTTCGCCTAAAACTGTCTATCTTTGCATATTCAATCGAATCTAAGGCGTTCTGCACAAACAGTTCTTGCCGTCGGATACGCCATGCACGCGCCTGTGGTTGGCATTTGGGAGTCTATTTCATCTTGCCATGACCTGCAGCTCGCAGCTGTTGTAATCCTTGTCCTGTTCTAACCTGAAATGCCTGAAATTGTGACTTGTCTCAACCCAGTCCTCGAGATTGCGACCCCTTTCCTCGGCCCGTGACCCAAATGCGACCCCCTCGCTCGAACAGTTCGAACGAACGGTTGACCCTGTTTTGGAGTGCGCCGTTGCCACCTTATTCAAAAACGACGTAATATTTTAATGCGATATGCCCTACATAGTTACTTGCGGGGCTAACCACTGCAGGAGTTAGCGCTAAATTTTTGGCTAAATCTGGCTCATTAGAAAATTTCTAAAAGGTGGAAAGTTGGATGGGCTCAGCGGAATTCGATCCTGATTCCCACTTCCATACGCGCAACACTACTTGCCATTACACAATTTTGCCCTCATGATTGTCTATAACGAAATTATAAAACCATGTAAATGACAAAAAATAGAAAGGCTAAAGTTGCTCAATGCTCGACACATCCAGGATGCGCCACGCACTTGACTTACATTCGGAAATGCAGCTATCTTTGCACGCGTGCCTGACTAATGCAGCCGTCTAGGAGGGAAGAGAGGTTGGGAGAACAACCAACGCAGCACTTTTTATCCTTCCATTGGAGTATAGGATATTATCCACGAGAAGTGTGAGAGGCTGCCAGAATACTCGTAGCGTTGCAATGGGGTGGATGGCGCCAACAAAGGTGCTCATATAGCCCAGCTTGCTCAGTCGAGATCTTGCTTTTTTTGAAGAGAACGTACTACAATCAGGTGCTCCTCTGTGAGTTTGACTTGATTGCCGATTTGATTAACTGCAGCCCGATTCATCCACAATTCCAGAATGCCTTTGAAGTTCCATCCCGAGCCCCAAGCGTCCTATTG